GCAACGGGAGAGGCCACAACAGTGAGAGGCCCGCACAACAAAAAAAAAAAAAAAAAAAAAGGAAAAAAATAAAAGAAAGAAGCCTGCACACCACAAGGAAGAGCCGGCGCCACAGTGAAAGGTCCCATATGCCACAACCAAGACCCGACACAGCCAAAAATAAATAATAAATAAATCTCTTTTAAAAAAAACAACAAACACTACCAACAAACTCCCTGCCAAACAAATGACAATTTTTTAAAAATCTCTACAACATCTCTAATGTTAAAGAGAACATCAAAACCTCAAATGCAAAACATGGAAAACTAAATGAGAATATTTCACCCAAAAATCTCTAGGATATAGCAAAAATTAACAAGGTAAAGATTCACCCTCGCACACATTTGTTATTAAAATGAAAATGTAGCAATAGTAAGATGAACATTATCCTCAAAAAATACAGCAAAAACACTACAAAAATAAATAAGGAAGCAGAAGAGAGGAAGTCATAAAGGTAAAATAGAGATTGATATAGTAGAAAACAGAAAAAAAAAAAACGAGGGACTTGCTAAATCCAAGAACTGGTTCTTTGAAAACCCAGTAAAACAGATAAATCAGTAGCTAGTCTAATCCATGACCAAAAGCAAGACTGCTCAATACTCAAAACTAGTAATGAGAAATAGAAATTGAACACAAATTTAGACTATTAAGAACCAATAAGTACATGAAAAGATGTTCATGCTCACAAATAATTACATTAATACAAATCAAACCAACATTGCGATAACATTTTTAGCCATAAGATTGGCAAAGATAGGTCACCATCCAGCTTAGGGGAGGATGGTGGGTAATGATCCTTTTTTTCGAATTGATGAGTGTGAAACTTCGTACATACTTCCTGGAGAGCCCTTTGGTAATCTTTGTCAAACCTGTGAATGTGTATAGCCTTTGACCGAATAACTTCACTTAACGGCAATATGTTCTAAGAAGGTAATCAGACACACACATGCACACGTGTGGCACAAACAGCAAAACAGTATTCTATGTCCAATAAAATGCATGCCTTTAAAAAATTATGTTATAGATTTACATTGATTGACTTGAAAAGATGTCTACAATATGTTAAGCAAAAAGAAACATGTTAATGGGAAATTATAAATTCAAAATCAAATATTCTGAATACGTATTCTATGCCAGACACTCACCTAGGCAATGTGGTAAGCAGCAGTAAATAAGATAGGAAAAGTTCCTGCCCTCATAGAGATTAGAACAAAAGATAAACCAACACTATTAGGTAACACACATCTGAGGAAAATGGTCACCATGTGTGAACAGTAGTTATCTGCGTTTAATGGGATTTAGGGTAATTTCTACTTTCTTCTTCATTTCTCTGTACTGTTTGAAAATCTTTAAATGAACATATCTGATTATTTTAATCAGGAAAAATTATTTTCTGAGAGGTGTAGAAATTATTTGTGGTTGAGGGCATGGTATATTTGGCGTTTAGGGGGTGCTAGAAAATAAAGGTAGCATTTGCATTATTCAGACTGCAGTAATATTTCCCATTATGATCAATATATATCATTATTTATCAAATTTAAAAATAAGAACATATGCCTATTCATATAAACACACAACGACTCTCACACAAAATGACATGTCTAGATTTAACAAATCCAGAAGTCTTCTGAGTCCTCATCTTCCAAAGGTGAATACAAAAATCAATTAACTACAGCTCTGGTGAGGCATTAAATGGTCAAAATTTCTCTGAGATGAAAGAGCCAATGGCAAACTCCTGTGTGGCTCCAGGTGGCGGTAACTCTACCACAATATTGGTAATTTGTTAGAGTTTCCTAACCTCTTCCCATTTCAAACAGTGGTAAAATGTTTGAACAAGAAAAGAATGCATGTTTTAGTTCAACTTATTTTTCATGTTTGACTTTAATTTGGGGTCTACACACTCAGTATTTTGATATTGACATCTGTTTTATGTTTTGATTATTCTTAAATGTGCACTTCAGTTGATGTGAACTCCTCCACTTTTGGGTGGCGTCTGTCATTTGAACTGCAAAACTGTCTGTGGCTTCCCCAGGAGCCCATCACGGGAGTAAGGGGGTTCACTGCCTTCCCTGGTACCACATTCATTTGTCTTCTTTATAAGGTTGACATTAGTGCTGGAATGCCCTGCCTGCTACTGTCTTCTGGAAGCCGTCTGAATCTATTTGGCCTGGGTCAGCAGTTTAGCTCAGGGTAGACGAGTCTCAATGGCATCCATGTCCCTGTGCCCTACCAGAGCACCTCTGTTCTACCATTTGAAAGCAAGGGGCTCACATTCAACCCATCTGTCTGTTATGATAGAGCTTCCCCCATTCAGCCTTAGAAATAAAAAAGAGTGTGTGTAGGAGGGATGCCTCTCATAGACGCTTTGGAGTAAACTTTGAGAGAGGCATGAAGACATAAGCTTTAAAAACAATGAATTGTGTTCTAATATAACAGTGAAGCTTGACTAAAAGGAGCTTAAAAAGAAGGACGTTTTATTTTCAAATAGATAAGAAATTGGAAGCTAGAGAGTCTAGGCACCTAGACAAAGTCATCAGGCAATATTCCATCATTCCTAGGGTGGGCCCTTGTCCTCATGGTACAAGAGGGCTTCTGGAGTTCTAACCATCTCATTAGCATTCTAAAGAGCATTAAAGAGACCTTTTCTCCCTTTTTGGAGACTTCCTACAAATCCCACACAATACTGCTGTATAAATCCCAGTTTAGTTGCTTGGCTGCCAATAGCTACAAGGTAAACTAGAGGAAGCAGGTTTGTTTTTCTGTTTGTTTGTTTTTTACCAGGTGGTAATGAGCAAGCTAAAACTCACGGTCCTTATTAATAGGAAGAATGGGAGAATGGATAGGATATTAGAAGGAAACATGTAAGCACACACCAGGACACGTGTACATAATTTTAATAACTGTTACCAAAATTCTTCTTAGAGAAGGGGCTGTTACTACTAAGTACCATGAGGTATTACTTGGGTATGAGAAGATAGAGCTTAAGTCAGGATCTGGAGAAAGGGGGCAGGTCTGAAGTAGGACTGAATTTCAAATGGGAAGATTCTAACTTTTGTAGTTGTGCCCAAGAAAGGACTGAGACAGTTAAGTGGAGGGAAGAGAAGGCACAAAGGATATGTGAAGGGGCCAGAGAACTTGGAGAGGTGGTGCAGTGAGTTTTTAAAAAAGAAATGAAGGAAGGAGGGAAAAGGAGGAGAGGGGATGGAAGGATAGGAAAAATACATAAATGGTAGCCATAAAGTAGCCAAATGGATTTCTAGAACAGGAATGGCCAACATCCAAACCCACCTCCATCCGCCCAAACTTACTACATTCACAAAGGCCATGTGCTGTGGGAGGAGAGTGTAAGTCTAGAAAAAAGGCTAGGAAGGATCCTTAGCCAGTCAGTGTACCCCACATGGGGCAGCGGACATGAGATAACATTAAGTGGAAGCAGCAGTTTTGAGACAAATGTGGTTGTGAACAGGAGACCTGCCCTGGAAGTCACAAACATTTTGGGGGTCTGAAGAACAGACATGTAAGTCATGAGGTGGATGCTGAGCCAGTTCTCTCTGGAGCTTAAAGGCCACTTCCTTGTGAGTTCAGTTGCTATAAAACTTTGTCCCCTCGTGTCACTCTCCCAATGTAAGGAGGATGCAAAAATGTTTATTTGAGCTTTAGTAAAACATAAGCTTTATAATATAGAAAAATGAAGTTAAATGCCCTATAGCTGGTAAGTGGTTCAACCAGAACCAGAGCCTGTACTTCTCATGGCCTCCTTCCTTAGGAAGGAAACATGTGTCGTTATCTAGTCAGCTGAGAGAGAGTCTGGAGTGATGTGCTCAGATGCATGACTGAGTCTAGGCTTGGCAGAACTGGTGCCCTGATTCATTAGTAACGTCTGCTCTGTGCTTTGGATGTGGGGCGTCAGCTGCCATGCACTAGATCTGTTGTCCTCCTTTTAGACCATGATGACACTCTAAATTGCTGAGATTTGCAGTAAGGCCATTTGGTGTAATCGATGTAAGAAGTCATGACTGTTCAGACTTTCCAGGAAAAGGAGTTTTTAAGTTGCATAATTTTTAGTTAACTTGTTACTAAAGTGAGACAGAAAAACCAGAGAGACGTAGACTCTGTGGGTTGGAGATACCCTAGTTTATCTAGTTCATCCTACGATGTGATACTTCAACTTCTTCTAAAACAGTCTGTATAAAATCCAGCCATCCTTGGGATTCCTCGTGTAGCTGGAGTAATAATAAATATGGCAACAGTAAATAACATGGGCAAGTCTCCTACTATGTGCTGCATGTTATGCTAAGCCCTTCGCAGAGCACTGCCTTACCTAATTCTCTCAGCAACCTACAAGGTTCAAAGCTACCATTATCCTCATTTTCTAGATGAGAAAACTGACATCATAGGTTAAGAATTCCGCCCAAGGTCCTACAGCTGGTATGTGTTGAAATTCCTCCAACCAGGAGGCCTCCTGCCATGGATTGAGCTGGTAACCCACATCTAGGAGTGAGCACAGGGAGGCCAAGCAGAGCCTCACCAACTCCCAGGAACAAGAAAAGATTTTCATTCCATGTCTGAGTCCCAGAAACCAGCTCAGTGCCGGGATGAATTAATATCCTTAGAAGCAGCTGGCAGAGTAGTGAAATGTTTGTTCTCAGGCATCTTATTGATTTGGTTCCTATTAAGAAGGAAATCTCGTAAGTGAAATCTGGAAGAACAAATATTTTTCTGAAAATATTTCCTTCCCCACAGCACTCCAAGAAAGAGACCCAATGTCCTTAGACTAGAATTGGATTACAGTAATAAAGGCCTCTAAACAAACAACCAAGGTACTTTCTCTCCGAGAGACAAATTAGGAATTTACTGATGCTTCCCCTCACCAGTGTTTCAGTCAATGGAACACCATTTTGTCACTGGTGGAAATTTTCCAGAGTGATTAGTGCAGACAAATCCATGGACCCCAATCAATGGGAGGTGACTGCTCTTGGCCAAGGGGAGGCATGAAGTCTTAGGGTACATCTCTCTTCAACTCTAGACATGGTGGTGTAGGTAGATAGGAAGTGCCTGTCATCTATCCCCTACCGCTATGCCCTCACTCCTTCATTCATTCCTTCTCCCTCTCCCCTAATATGACAGATGGCGTATGATGTGCCAAGCTCTGTTTTAGGCACTGGGGAGGCATCAGTGGATGAGCCAGGCTATCAGAGGCTCACACAGGTTCATTGAAGGAGATGCAGACAATACACACTGACTAACGTCACTAAAAATAATTTCAGATGGTGAAATAGCCACAAAGTGGTAAAGTGACTCTCCGAGGAGCTCAGAGTACCTCTACAACAATCTATCCTCCCAACTGGAGCATTCCTCAGCATAAACTCCAACAAGGTCATGCAAAGCCCATGAATTGTGACACAACCCTCTTCCTCTTAAAAGTGAGTTGCACGCTATAGGATCCACGATCCACAGTTTCACACAGTCTCTTCTCCACCCCTGACCCAAAAGGAAGAAAGCCTCCATCTGGCCTGGCATTTTTAAAAAATGATGCAGTCATGAAGAGTGAGAAGACAAAAATAATAAACTCCAGAGCCTGCCTTGAGAATAACGTTTTACCAACAGGATGTGTCATAAATATGAAATGGCAAAGAAAGATGTTCCAGGATTTGTCCTTTGTCCTCTTTTAGCCAGACAGATAATAAGTTACCATCATGGAATTTTTTTTCTCATTTGAACATGAGCTGCATATAACTTCCATACTTCTGTAAAAAGGGAACCCATAAATCACAAGTTATTGTTTCCTAGAAACTGGGATTATACGAGGGAGAGCCAAACAAAAGCCTTTGTTTCATGAGCTTGCAACTTTTTAATTAAATACCGCTTTAAACTCACACATGCACAAGCCAAATGTTCCCAATCCTTTCTGCTTTCGAGCCTGGTGTCCAAGCTCCCCCTTCCATCACTGTTGCTGTGGTGGGAGCAGGATTCCTGCATTTATTGGTTTCTAATTTTTCCCTTTATCAATTTAGGTGGAATGAGAAACACGGATCACAGGACAAGGACTAGTTCTTTACGTTTCTTTTGTAGACATCATGACCAAGGACTGCGCTCTACACGTAAGACTATAAACAAATAAAAAGGGAGGGAAGTAGGGAGGGAAGGAGGAAAAGCAGGGAGGGAGGAAAGGAGAAAGGATGGAGACTCTAGCCCAGGAGCTTGTAAACTTAAAACACTTTATCTGATCCCCATAGATCGTTAGGCAGAATCTGGTTGGTTCTTCACAATATCCCTCTTTCCTTCATCTTTAGTATGCTTCTAAAGTGCATTTCCCAATTTCACAGAATGTGGGCAGAAGGGATGTGTGTCACTTCCAAAAATGCCCCCTAAAATCTCCTGCTCTGTTCCCCACGTTTTTTCCTCTGCTTCCTGCTGGCTGCCTGCATAGGACCCAGTCGAGGTCTCTGAGGCCCTGGAGGATGGTAGAGCCACACGATGAAAGCGACTAGGTCCGTGCATCACTCTGTGGAGCATAGTGCTTCCCCCACACTGGCCTGGGACGTGAGAAAGAAAGGTAAGAACCAATATATACGGGTTGTTTCTGTACGGTTAACCAGGCCTGAATGACACACTCCTGTCTTGGTCTCTCCGGGCTGCTGTAACAAGATACCATAGACTGTGTGGATCAAACCACAAACATTTATTTCTCAAAGTTCTGGAGGCTGGGAAGTCCAAGGTCAAACTATGGCAGATTTTAGTGTCTGGTGAGAGCCCACTTGTTGGTTCATTGACGGCAGTCTTCTCACTGTGTCCTCACATGGCAGAGGGAGCTCTCTGGGGTCTCTTTTATAAGGGCACTGATCCCATTCATGCAGGCTCCTCTCTTGTGACCTAATCACCTCCCAAAGGCCTTGCCTCCAAACACCATCACACGGGGGATTAGGATTTCAACCTATGGATTTCGTCGGGGATATAAACAGTCTATAGCAACAGCCTTGCTCCATTGTTCCATCCATGGCAGGTGACACTAGTAGATACCTTGTAGATAAATTCTCTCTTACGCTGTCCTCAAACGTGTATGTGGTGCCCCAGATATCCCTCACTTCATGTTCAGAGGACATCCAGAGATCTTATCCAAGTACTTTAAATACTAAATTTATATTTTTAGCCAGTATGTAATCTACCCCTCACTGTAATTCCTATTTTAAAAGGCCTTTAAAGAATGAGTCCACGATTCAAGTCAAGATGAGATGTTTTCTAAATCAGGGGTCAGCAGTTTTTCTTCTGTAAAGGGCCAGATAGTAAACTTTTTAGGCTGCTTGGGTCTCTGTTGCAACTACTCAGTTCTGACACTGAAGCACGAAAGCAGCTGTAGACACTACAAACGAATGGGCGTGGCTGTGTTCCAATAAGCTGTGATTTATAAAAACAGGCAGGAGGCCAGATTGGGCCCGTGGGCTGTAGTTTGCTGACCCCTGTTCTAAATCATTCTCGCATTTTCACTAAATGGGAAAGAGGCCACGTGTTAATTCCAGTATCCATTTCAATCCCTGTGACACTGGTTTATATTTATTTGTTTGTTTGTTTGTTTTAAACATCATGCCTTAAGTAACATCAGCTATGACAAGTGAAGTTGTAAGCAATATTTAATTCTTCTCTGAACCCCAGGACTGCACTGTGCTGGCACAACGTAAAATGCAATAAATTTTTGTTCCTTCTACTTTCCTTAAAGCTTGCCCTTGAAGGTTAGACTTGAAGTCAGACCTGAATTTAAGTCCTATTTCTTAGTCTGTGGCTTTGGTCAAGTCACTTTCTTTTTGTAAGCCTGGGTCTCCAAAACTGTAAAATGAGGATAACATTATATAACACACAATATTTCTTGGAGGGGGAACCAAATAGAATAATGTATATATTTTGTGAGCCGCAGCGCACGGTACAGAGATAAGAGACTATTACTATAAGCTGCCTCTCCCTTCCTTGATTCTGAATTTATTTCTTCCTACTCCAAGAGTGGATTTTTTTTTTCCCTGACAGTTCCCAAGGAGGTCCACTAAACCCCTATTTAGCCCAGGCCAGGAGGCTGCTGGTGTCCACAGGCCAGCCCCACCTGCGTTCCGATTGACCAGAAACCTGAGCCTCCTTTACAGCCACTACCTGGATCCAGAGAAGGCAGCTCCAGCTGCCAAGAAGGGTTGCTGCTTTAAAGAGATAAAATGCAATAAAGGCCTTTCTGTAATGGGCACTCTCAGTTTGGTTTGACCAGCCAGTGACACAAGGCCCTTGGCCTTGGACCCGATGTTATTTGAAATGAACTCTGGAATTGAGGTCCTGTTCTCATCAAAAGAGCCATACCCTTAGTAGTCCACAGCTAAGACCTTCAAAATGTAAAAATCAAGACTTTTTTTTTTAGTCATATATTCAAATAGTGAAAAAAGATTGTGGATAGAATATTTATCCTCTTGTTGCAAATTTGCATGGCTGTCCCATTCAACTAGAAGTTGCCATGTGTATAAAACTTCAGATTCTAGAGTAAACCCTAGACTTCCCACCTGAGGACATCTGTGTACCATCTAAGAAGAGGAGACGTTCACTACTCTAAAAGAAACAAAATCCTTTTTTCTCCATTGAGGATGCTTGCATGAAAACTTGAAGGAAAACATTGCAATTGGTTCTTGTCAATTAGTCATTCAACATGCCTTGACAGTGTCTAGAACAGTACCTGGCAAGGGCTTCAACACAGATCTGCCAACAGGCTGAGCCCTGTGAGCTGGACGTTGTCCTATAACTGGTAAGGCAGGAATGGCAAATATCTAAAAACTGTGCCATAACTTCCCCAGCTGTGGTCATGGCAGGCATCAATAATCACTTAGGGTGGAATTTTCCTGATGACCCAAAACAGAGCAACAGTAACATCTTGGTGAGGGCAGCTTTTCTGCATAGTCATACCTCCAGGGTGATGGTTCCTCAGTTATTATTTTTCCTCTCCCCCCTCAAAACGAGGTCCTCCTGCAATCTTAGCTAACCTTAGTAAATTGATCCGCATATCCACTCAAGACCTCAAGCTAAAAACCTGGTAACATCCTTGAAAAACCCACTAATATCTAACCACTCAAGAAACTCTATGAACTCTAATGCCCAGAATTGCTTCTCTTCAGCTCCATCATTATGGACCTGGGCCATTTTTGGTCTCAACCCTTTCAGGAGCTTTTGAAGTGCTCCCTAAGCTCTGCCACCCATACAACCACCAGAGGGCTGCTGTTAAAACTTAAAACAAATCATGTCAATGTCTCACTGAAGGGCCACATAACCTGCGTGATCTAACCCTTCCCTTCCTTTCCAAAACCAGCTCAGTTCATTCTCCTCTCTGTCCCTGCAATGCACTGCAGCTTCACTGACCTTCTTTCAAGTCTTGGAAAACATCCAGGTCTTGGCCCCATTTAAGGCCTTCACACATTTTGTTGTCGACCTGTGAGTCTGCTGCCCATGACCCTCCTGACTAAGACCTGATTCTTCAGGTCACAACCAAACTGCCACCTCTTCAAAGAGATCTTCCTGGATCACTCACTCAACTACCTTCTTTTCTGTCAAACTGATGCCCCTATTCCTCTGAGCTTATTCTTTCTCTGAAGACTTGGACTTATTGGGAATTTTACATACACGGAAGTTGCAACTTTCAGTAAAAAAGGAAACATCCATGAAAACAGTATCATGGTCATTTCCTAGAAATTACCACATTTCACAATGTTATTTTTTGTTTTTATGCCACTTCTCTTACCTAATGTGATATAAGCTCTACTGGGAGTAGGGACAATGTCTTGTCACTGCTAGAGAAAAAAAAGACACACACACAATTCTTTCTTTGTGGTGAGAAATTCTAAACCATATTCTTAGACACCTTTTGTGGCATCTACCTTGTCCCAATAACTCCCTTTTCCAGGAAATCCATGTACATGCAGAATGAACCCCTGTACACAAGGGTAGACCAGATATCCATGTTTGAACTGTGGGGCACTGGTCATCCTCACTGTCCATCAACTGTCTTATCCAAGACACATTGAGGGCAGGGATCCCACTTGACTTGCCCATTTTCGAATCCAGCAACTGTGACTAGTGACTGTTTTAAGTCTGTGAAAGTGCAGATCCAAGAAGTGACCCAGGCATCCACGTTTTGTTCTTTGGGTGGCCTGGGTTTGGTTTAGTCTCCAGGAATCTAATAAGGGGACACCCAGAAAGATGAAACTACATCCCTAAATGCCTATTCATTCAATAATCCTAAGATAATTTCTAATAAAATTAGAAACAAAGGGCAATTGTGAAGGGTCTTTGTCTGCCTGCCCCCCTCCTCAGACAACCTCCAGGGGCAGTTTTCAGAGCTTTGGATGAGGTTTGGCCTGTGTAAATCCCATTGTCTGTGGTTCCACTGGGAGAGTGACTTTCTTCCTCCAGCCCCATGCAACTCTTTGAAAATGGCACTCAATGAAGGGTGTTCCTTGCTGAGGAACTTTGCCCTTAGGGGAAAGTTCCAGATGACAGATCATAAATTTGGAAGGCCCTGGTCTCAGAAGGTACTCTGAATGATTTCAATAAAGTGCAGAAGGAGAGGATTATTTTTAAAAAAGTTCTGCCAGAGATTTCAGAAAGCAGAGGTCTGTGCAGGAATACCGACCAACTGACTTCCTAAAACACCCGTATGTTTTCTGGTCACCCAAGTCGTATATTTTTTGCATCAGTAAAGAGGATATTTACCTACCTACTTGCCAGCCGGGCAGACTGAGTCTGGGAGTTGCTGAATACAATGCTAGAAGAGTACCTTGCAGGGGAGATGCCCAATAGGCCAGGCTCCATGTACCCCAATATCTGTTCTTTCTCTTCATGCTTAGATTCTGAGCCTGGCCAACATCAAAAGTGCTCAGCCCAACAAATGGAGACCTCTTGTCTTAGATAAAGTAGATGCATTCAGGGTGACAGCAGATTAAGTTATGGCCACCATAATAAAGGGAAATAGTGAGACAGTGCAAGTACTTTGGGTAATTTGCATGAGTCTTGCTCTAGTTGACATTTGCATCCATCAGCTCAAACTTGAAGGCAGAGAAGTTATTTGACTTCCTTTTGTATCCAGGGCTGGCCGAAGTCATCTTACGTGTTCAACTTTTTCCTCTTTGTGCCTCACTCTATTCATAGCGTTCAGGATAATTTCTGACACATAGTAAACACTCATTAAATACAGTCACCCCTTGTATCCATGAGGGATTGCTTCCAGGACCTGTCCTGGATACCAAAGTCCATGGATGCTGAAATCCCAGAGTCTGCCCTCCGTATGCGTGGGTCCCGCATCTGTGGATACGGAGAGCTGTCTGTATTTGTTAAATTGCTGTTAATGAATATACCACTCCACTTTGGCCTCAGACACTCTCTGACTTTCTGGGATTCAAATCACTGTTCTAAAATAGGTTATTTTTCTTAAGCAATAAGTCAACTGTCATTTCTACCACTGAAGGAACGTGTTATGTGAGACCACCCTTGGTCCCAACCTGGAGAAGTCTCTTGGTCTCTCTGAGGTGCATGGCACAGAGACTGGACATCACAAGCTTCCCCCACACCAGGTCTAAAGGATGAAGGTACAAAGAGCTGAGAATACAACCCATGGACCAGAGCCCAGTGAAGTCACTACTTTAGGGACCCAGAACTGTCATCACTGTCCTCACAAGTCCACGCTTCTGGACGCTTGTGTGGACTCTGCACACCTGCAGCATCTGGCTCATGGCTGAGCACTTTGACTACAACGGGCCGGATTCAAATCCAGCTTGACCCTGGGACTGTGGGCAGTGCACTGAACTCCTCTGAAGCTCAGTTTCTTTGACTATGAAACGGGAGAGGCTATAACCACCTCAGGATGTAGCAGACAGCAAACTTAGATGTGCACACAAATTGCCTGGGATCTTGTTATGATGTGAGTTCAGACTTGGTAAGTCTGGGATGAGGCCTGAGATCCTGCATTTCTGACAAGCTACCAGGTGACACGATGCTGCTGTCTGGGGGCCACACTCAGAGCAGCAAGGTCATGGGGCATTACATGAGATAACAGTAGAAATAAAAGATGATTATTAACATTAATAAGCACTATAAAGAAAATTATTAATAATTATTATCAGTAGGAGCATTTCAATTAAAACTCATGAAATTACAACCAACTAGGTTTGAATTAGACTGTTTCTGGCCCTGAATCCTTTTAGGCAAGGTTTGTGATTACATCTGTAACCTCCTTCAGACCCTCCTCATAAGCCCTGACGTAACTACAGAAGTCAAGCGCACAGTGAGAAGATATTTTATTACCGATGTATTTATATATGGGTTTTTGGGGTTTTAAAACTGGCAATTAAAACCTTGTAAATTTGTATTATCAACAAAATAAATGTAGACGGATTAGTTACTCATTGCTAATAAATTTGATCATTCATTTATAAAACGAATGTTCGCCCAAGAATCACAGAGCACTCTATAAATATCGCTTCACTAAGCCACAAACCACCTCGACAAGGAAGGCACACAGCACCCCTGAGGGGTTAAACAAACCTTCTCGGGCCTGGGGGATGGGAGAACAGCCTGAGTTCCAGCCCTCTCATCCCCTTCCCACACTCAGTTCAGCTCCTGCCCCACAGGGGCCAACTCTTTGAAGCATGATATCTGCTTGGAAGCATTTCAAATCAGCCTGCCTGGGGGCTCCATCCCCAGATAGCCCCAGGTGCCTGTCTGTGTGTGTCAGGAAAAACCATCTTTCTCTCATTTGGGAGGTTGAGGAGGACTTGCCTCCCTGCTTCCTCTTTCCCTATCATGTACTCTGGGCAGTTCAGCTACCGTGAAAGAAGGAACTCTCAAAAGCCACTGGCCCAGCTATGGAACTCAAACATGGAATAAATAAAACAAAATTACTTCACTGCAGATTTCCCATCCTAATATGCCCTCTTCAAGCCTTTCCCAGCTGAGGGTCCCCTTCACTTCTCCAGTATCAAAGAACTCAGTAAACCCTTCTGTCACCATGTCCCGGTGCCCTGGATGGAGTCGGGTTTTGGTGTCTGGCATCGCTGGGGGTGAATTCCAACCCATGGCTGTGGGAGACCAGGGATCTCATGTTTCTTAGTTGTGAATTGGGTTTTTACAGCCAGCATCGGCTGGTGGCTGTGAGGATGCTCAGAGATGAGGTGTGGGAGGCACCGGGCTTGGGTGGCCCATTAGTGGAAGTTATCACTGTTAGTGGCAGGAGAGGCAGTTGTGATGTTGGTCACAGACGCAGCAGCAGCAGCAGAATCTCCAGCCACATCATGCTTCTTAGAAACCCTAAGCAATATAAAGGATATTATGGTGTTCCGTTGACACCCTCCACACACACACACGCACACGTCCTACACCTACACACACACCAACACATGTGCTCACATACACCTCTGCTCCCACAAAGACTGATTGGAAGAGGCCGTATTCTTTTGTTCTCAGCCTCCGCCTACGGGTCCCACTGCTCCTCGCTCCACCTTTGCCTGCGCTCCTGGAACACCCACGTGACCTTCTGCCTGGAGCCCCCACGAGACCTCAAGGATTGCAGGTTGGAGGTTTACTATCATTCATTATGTCTTCAGCTACCTTCCAATTTCTTTTCAACCGGTGGCTCTATCTGTGTTCTCTCTCTGGATTCAGTCTCTGAAAGAGCAGGACTCATCCTTACTTAATTCCTACTTTAATGAATGCCTTAATTTATTCTCTTATGTAGAGGTAGGAATTCAATGAGAATATCAGATATATTCTTCATCGCTGCCTTTAGTGAATCAACATAGAGACCCATACGATTTTTGAGCAGAGAACCAAAAGCAGAAAACGTATAGGACATTAGGCTTGCTGATACATGTTTGTAGAGAAGAGGGGATCTGAAAAGCTGTTTAATCTATCTCTCTATAAAAGGATGTCTGGTTTGCCCTGGGCTTGAAATGAGTCATCTCCACCGAAGGCTCTAAGACAGTCATCGTTCCGGCTACCTGCCGTGTGGAGGTTCTCCTCTGAGGGCGTGAATGTCTACTACTAGAAACACTACCTGCCATTTTATTAGTCTGAGTCTGGCTGGCTTGTGACCACCGTGTACCAGCCATCCAACCAAAGAGAGAGACCAGATGATTGCTGAAAATGGGTGTGCTAGCATTAAATTTTCAGTTAATGTTTAAAAAAAAGTGTTACTAGCATCTCCAGATCCATGTTTAATTTCTTAACGGAAGCCATCCATGATCAAGAGATTTTGCTTGCAAGAATAAAGGTTGCCGACCAACACATCTTATAAAGTGAACCTCGATGAACTGTTTTGTATTTTTTCTTTTCACTTCCAATATAAGTTATCCAAAAATTATTTACATCTGTATTTGTTAGTATGGTTAAAAAAATACAGTAGGTTTTCTTTGTTTAATTCAAACAGTGTTGGTCAGTGTTTCCTGATTCTGCCTTTTCAACTCTGGACCTTCACTCACACTGTTCCTTCCATCTAGAACAATAACCTTCCTACATATGCCGAGTCTATTTCATTTCTTAAGGCATAGTTGAAGGCTCTCAACCTTTCGGGCTCAAATGCCTCATTCTGTAGTCTTTACTGATTTCTCCACTGGAAGTCATCTCCCCCAGTTATGCGCACTTTCACTTGAGAAATAGCAAACGTCAGGCGTTGGTTCATTTAATTTTTAAAATCAGGGCATCTTGGCAGTCAGGCTTGCCTTCTTTTTTTTTTTAACAGTTTTATTAAGATGTGGTTCACATACCATAAAATTTACCCTTTTTAAATGAATAATTCAGTACTTTTTAGTGCACTCATGGTTGTCCAACCATCATCATAATATAATTTTAGATTTCCATTACGCCGCAAAGAAACCCCATACACAGTACACATGAGCAGTCATGCCCGTGCCACCCATCCCCAGACCCTAGATACCCACGAATCTACTTTCAATCTCTATGGATTTGCCTGTTCTGGACATTTCACAGAAATATTATTGTACAATATGTGACCTTTTATGACTGGCTTCTCTTACTTAGCATAATACTTGCAAGTTCATCTACTTTGTAGCACGTATCAGTACTTCGTTCCTTTTCATCCACTGTATGGATATACCTCCTTCTGTTTCTCCATTTATCAGTTGTCGGACATTTGGGTTGTTTCTTTTTTTGACTATTATGAATAATGCTACTGTGAACATTCATGTACAAGTGTTTGCACAGTTGTGTGTTTTCATTTCTCTTGGGTACCTGGAGTGGAATTTCTGGGTCATATGGTAACTTTAACATTTTGAGGGACTGCCAAACTGTTTTCCAAAATGGCTGCACCATTACCACCAACAATGTAGAAAGGTTTCAATTTCTGCATATGCCTGCCAACCCTTGTCATTGTCTGTCTTTCTGATTTTCAGGCTTTCATCCTTAGTCTGAAGCTTTATTTCAGAAAACAAGTTGGAAGAAAAGAAGGGTATCTGGAAAACTTACCTCAAGAAACATTTTTTCCATGAAACTCTCATTGAACCTTGGAGTCCTGAACAGGCATAGCACCTTGGAGGGCAGACGTTGCTGTGCCTGAGAACAAGAAAGCCCCTGTGGTTTCCTTCTCAGCTCCGTGCTTTACAAATGATGCACCTTTGGTAGGTTATTGTCTGACCCTTGGTTGCCTTACAGGTAAAATGAAGATGGTATTTTCTTTATTCATTCAAATGAAATGAGGCATGTGTATGTGAACATGTCTGGAGGCGCACATGGAATTAAGGCAACGGGCTTTCTAGAAAGTTCTTTTTAAATGGTTCTCCCAGAAGTCTTGTACTTTTGTGGCAGTGCCTCTAGGTCCACCAACAGATAAAATGGAAATCTTGGTTAAGTTTTGTAAATATTCCATGCGTGTGACAAGAATGGGGGTACTCTGTTGAGTACAAGGATTTATATAACATGCACATCAAGCATGTTAAATATATGTCAAATCCAGTTTATCTTCACCTATTTATTTTTCGGTCTCCTTGGTCGGTGGTTTCTGAGGAAGTTGCAGACACTTTCCCACACTGACTGTTTATTCATCCATTTTTGTAGTGTCTTTACAGCAGAGACTACGGTCTAGTCCTCTCCTGGGTGCTCTGGTCCATTGCCAAGTCCTCTAAAGCCTGATGGCACCTTCCTCACAGCCTGAGAGCAAAATAACGTGGTGTTAAGGCCCAGGAAGCAAGTGAGTATTGTTGTTACGAGTGGCAGCTTCAGAGACAGACAAACCTGAGTTCAAATCTCAGCACCATCGCTTCCTAGTTTATGAACTTGGAGAGCTAACTTAACTTCTCTGAGCCTCAGAGTTCCCATCCGTGAAATGGGAAGATTATTAAGAGTAGCTTCCACTCCGGAAGGGTGAGCAAATTCAATGGGATCATGTATCTAAAGCACTTATCACAGAGCCAGGATCAGGAAACTGGTAAGGGTTTAGTAAATGCCAACTTCTGTGGGTAACACTAAAGAACCTCAACAACAGCAGTAGCTGCTCTCCTCCTGGAGTGCTTAATATGTTCTGGGCGCTAAGCCAAGTGCCTCAGATGTATCAGCTCCTTTAAACCCTACAGGAAGCCTGAGACAGCAATGTGGTCACCATCACCATTTTATAGATGAGGCCACTGGGGTACAGAGCGATGAGGCAGCTGGCCCAATGTCACCAGCAAGCGCTGGTCTTGAACTGCACCTCCAGCCACGAGAGCCTGGGTTCATCTTTTGATTATAAAGTGGGTCATGCAACCAACAAAAAGACACACCACAAAAGGGCCTATTCGTCCCACATCCCTTCCTGTGGCCTCCCAGAAGTGCCCTGCAGCACCAGGCTCCACTCTGGGTGGCTACTGTGGTTCTTCTTTTGTGTCTGAGAAAGATGAGCATTCGATAGGATCCAGCTGCCAGCTCCCTGCAGCCCTACTTGTGTGTTTCCAGAGCAGCTCCTGGGTCTGGGACAACAGAGCCCTTACAGCCTCCTTGTTCCAAGCATAGTCACAAACATTTGAGAAAAAACTGGGTTGGAAAACCAAGCAAACCTTTAAAATGTGGACAATGAAAAGGCACTGTTGGGACATATTTATGGATAACACGCTACACTTTCAAAGCTAACACTCTTGGACACAGCCCTGGTTTCCCAGTCCAAGTCCTATTTTAAAAACAAATGTACAATACACAAATATATTCCCACTGTAAAAAAAAAAAAAAAAAAAAAGAATAAGTATGATGAATAAAATGAGAAAGTTGATCATTATTCCCCACCTCCACCCCGAACCCACATCTCTTTCCAGTGGTAACCACCATCAATGGGTTGGATGTGTCTCTGCCCAAGTCTTTTCCTTTGTATTTGAATGCACATATATATATATAGACATAAACATGTTTAATTTTGGAAAAATATTCTATTTCTATACAAATGGTGTCACATTTGTTTGCAGAATAACCTTGTTGGCTTTATTCACTTAACAATAGGTTTGAGAAGGGGCTCCAAGTCCGTGCACACACATGTCCACATCATTCTTTATTAACTGCTGAGATGCTTCCCATGTGTGGTGATACCATAAATTATACATTTGGGTCGCCATGGCTGGCTGGCTCTAAGATGGTCCCCAGTGATCTCTACCCCCTGGTATTTGTGCCCCTGTGTAATTGCCTCCCCTTCATCGTGGGCTGGCTTATGATTCGCTTCTAATCAAAAGAATAAAGCAAAGGGGATGAGATGTCACTTCTGTGACTAGCTTCAAGGGAGTGTGACTTGCCTTTTGCTAGCGGATTCTGTCTCTGGCTGGCTTATAGAGAGGCTCACGTGGCAAGGAACTAAGGGCAGCGTCTGACCAACAGCCCACGATTAATGGAATCCTGACAGCAACGATGTGAGTTTGGAAGTGGATCCTTCTCCACTGGAGTCTCAGATGAGCCTCCAGTCCTGGCCAACACCTTAACTGCAGCTCATGAGAGACTCTGAAACAGAGGCCCCAGCTAAGCTGTGCCTCGATTCCAGATCCGCAGAAATAAGCTGCTACATTTACAGTAATTTGAGATGCAGAAAAGGATAACCAGTTGTTAAGATACGCAGTTGTTAATTGCTTTCTATCCTAAGCATCACTGGAACAAAGATTCTTCTGCATATGATTAGTGGAGTATTCTAGGATCAAGTCTTAGATCTGAGATTGCTCAATCTAAAGGAAAGGATATTTAACATAGATAAATAACACTAAATTAACCTCTAAAAATATGTGGCAAGTTTACATATGCATGCAAACAGTATGAAAGTTTCTACTTCTCTAATGCCCTTGGCAAAGCATTGATCATTTAAATAATATCAGTCTGATAAACTCAATACTGCTTTGTTTTGATTCCATTTTCCTGATTGATAGGGTGAGTTTCTTTCTTTTTTTTTAATAAATCCACTGGCCATTTTTTCCCTCTTCATCTGAGACTTACCTTTTGGTATCCTCTGCTTTAATCCTGTTTCAATTCCACAACTGGAAGTACGGATATGAATATTACATCTGGAGACGTACAATGGCCATCCTCCCCACTGGTGATGGTGACGTTACCCAGTTTCTCCACTGTTTAGTTACTACTTTGTCCCTTGCAACTAATAGGCAATTAACGGGGTGATTCTCTGAGATCATTCAAATATCCTGCTCCTCATTAAACTATCCCCATGGATTTAGCTGGGGTTTAGAACATATTATAATGTTTTATAATACTATATCATATTTTATATTAATATTTATATTATTATTAATAATATTATTATCCACCATTTATTATGGTGGATGCAAAACGATAATTTTCCAAAATGATAGTTTTCCAAGTGTGTAGCACTCCCTCCACATTTACCAGTCGACATTCAGCCTCCGTTTATAGAAGAAGGAAGATCTCCTCTCCTCCCCTATTTATGTATTTATTATTAGTATAGACTCATAATTTCTTGTTTTTCCTCAATGATTTATAATTTATTACTGTCTTTTTGGTACCCCAGTTTTCCCAGATCTGGCCAATGGGAGCCCCTTCGAGTTGGCTATCACTTCCTTGTGATAATGCTTGTCTTTTTGTAAAATTATTATTCTTTTCTTTATTCATATTTATATTTCTTAAAATGTTTTCTTATTTATTTTCTGGCTCAACAAAATGTTCCAGGCTCATCTTGTACAAACCTGTGCCAGCCCCAGAAGCAACCATTTCTTTGAGGAGCCCTAGTTCTTTCTGGTGGGCGAAGGTACTAGAGATTAAGATCTGGGCACCAGGTATGCTCATTAAAATGGACCCATTTTAAATGCAGTTTGGTGAGTTTTGATGAATGTATGAACTCTTTTAACTACCAGCGCACTCAAGATATAGAGTTTCCTTCACCCTGCAAAGTCCTCCTATCTTGTTCACTTTTATACAACTTCCTCTGTCCAAAATGTCACTATTTCCTGTGCCCCACACATTCTGCAAAACCCAGATCAAATTTTCCTTCCTTCTTAGAAGTATGTTCAGTTTCCTCAACCAAGGTTTCTGGTTCCTTCTTTGCTCCTAAAACAGAGGGTAAAAGTGCTGGCTCAGCACTCAAAGAGCTCTAAGGAAGATGGCTTCTCTTACCCGCCGTGAGTCCTTGGGAGAGTTACTCATCCTCTCTCTGACCATTGTTTTTCCATCTGTAAAAGGGGGCACCCTTGAATCATTCCCATATCCACCACATGCAATCCTGTCAGCTTAACCCCTGAAGTAGCTCTTGATCATTGCCTTTCTGTGTATCTCCACAGCCACCCCTCTAGTATCTCCCTCCTGGAAATCTAATCTTTCACCTTCCACCTCTGGGCCCATTATAATGTATTCCCTACAAAGCAGCCAAAGTCATCTTAAGAAATGCCTATCAGCACCATGACCCACCAGGTGCTACACACTCCGGTAGCTTCTCAGTGTCATGGTGAGGATGGCCTTCCTCCCCACATGGTCTGTAAGGACCTTCTGGGTCTGACCTCTCCTTGCTCATATCGCACTGCATTCTCCTGACTTCCTTTCAGTGAGTTCGTCCAATTCTCCACACGCCATCCTGCTGCCCTTTGCTGGAGTACTTTCCCCATCTTACCTGCTTAATTCCGCTTCGTCCTTATGGGGCTACATCCTCGAGAAGCCTCTCCTGACTTCCTCGATGAGGTCAAATCCCCTCACTGTTCACTCCTCTAGCTCTGTGTCACTTTTTAAAACCGCTTACCGTAGTTGCACCATCTCACCCATAGTTTGTGATAGCTTTAATGAATGTCAGCCTCATTGAATCTAATCTCATAACAGTGGGCACTGTACCTCTCCGAGGATTGACACTCAGTGGGTATTAGCTGAAGAAATGAATACACCATAGGATTGGTGTCTGAGTGCAATGAGATAATGCTGTGTGAGAGAGGGCTATTTATACGTAGTTTTATCACTCTACTTACCATTTTCTATTGTGGGTTCTTATTTAGATGTCTGTCTTCTCGACTATTCCAAAACTGCCTTGAAAGTGGGGTCTATGCCAAGTCCTCTTGTGCCTCTAGCTTCTGGGACAGTGTCTGTACTTCATGAGGGCTTGATATAAGTGTGTGGTGAGTCAGTGAAAAGTTAAATGGATGAATGAAGTTATCTCACCTCCAGATGCTTCTAGTTCCCCATGTGAAAAGGACAAAATATGAGGGTCTAACTCATGGGTTAGTCATGAGGGTTTAGCTGGCTTGATATTTGGAAAGTGCTTAGAACAGTATCTGGCAAATCGTTTAAGTTCTCTGACTGTTAAATGAATATATACAAATGTAAAGAATCTGAGCTACCAGGTTCATCACTGAAAGTTTGCATGTAGGGTACAGGGGGATTGTCAAGGGGTCATCTCTCTCCACACACACAAAACATCATCTGTCTCTGTTTTAGAAAACTCTAAAGTGTTCATCATCAACCTCTTTTTTAAGTTCACATCATGCTGTCCTAATCACCCTTTATGCATTTTTTTTAAAGCCTTTAGTTAACTGTGGGATAAAATGGATTTTCCCTTAAACTGTTCGCTACTGTTCTTTAAAGCCATTGCTATGCAGTCTTGTTCATCTAACCAAACCTAAATTGGGTTATGCAATATTAAAAGCAAACCAGACCAGAAAATGATCGATTTGGACCTTTTTTTTCCCCAATTATTCATGATTATTTGTTCTAACCACATGTGTAGATTTTAAAAATTCCTCCCCAAAGAACTCCACAGCCCTGATACATCCTCTTCTTAAAACTTCAACTTACGTGAAGACAAAATCCTGTTGATTTTTTGACTTCTAATAGAAGTCTGACAGATGCCACATTTTCCCAACAAATCCAGTGAACAACTTAGTTGCCCTGGTCATTTTGCACCGTGACAAGCAGAGTGCCTGAGTCCCTTGTGTCCGAGAGGCTTGTCTCTGAAGATACGGTGCTCTTAAATGAGTCAGGACAGGACAATAAGACCCTCTCAGACTATATGCTTGAGGCGACCTTTCCAGTTCTGAATGAGAAACCGAAAGTTGGCAGCTGTCTCTTTAATATTCAGTTCTTAGTTATGAAGTTCTTGACATTTTCCATTTAAACATTGTTGGTGTGAATCTCCTTTAGGAAACTGAATCAGGCTTTCTATTACTTACACCCCAGAACATAATCTTTTTTTTCTTCAGAAGTAAATAGGGCAGTATCTTGGGCTTTTTCTGAACGTCTTGTCAAGGCACAAAACCTTTTCTTTAGGGCCAGCATTCATCAGCTGTGCCTGTCTTTTACTCTGACTGAAAAAGAAAATTGTCCAGTCTTCCAACTGGCTATTCTCTTGTTGCCTTAATTCATGGGAAGCCAAGAAGGGAAAAATTGGTAGGTTCAACAGTGTTGGACAAGGATAAACAGAATCATATCACATTAACTGTAATTTACAACATTTCAACACATCCCTGCTTCTGCCAAAGCCAGCAAGATCAGCCCCCACTGGAAAAAAAGGGAGAATGGGGTGGGGTTGGGAGGTGGAATAGGAAATTCAAATTTCTATTTTCTAAGCTGGAGTTTGAGAATTAGAGACCCATCAGCACTTTCTTGAATGTTTTGCTCATTCATGCTATAAAAATAAATATCACAAAATATTTTCTGGACTCAGCCTCGTCTGTTGCTAAAACCAAAGCCAGTGTGCTTCCAAACACACTCATGAGGCTAGTTTCACAAGGACGGACATTGTCAGGCTGGCAGGCGGCCACTGGAGGAGTTACTGAAATTCAATTCAAAATGATGTACTCTGCATGAAAATGCCCATTTATGAGCATTCAAAAGGATGAAGAATTTCACAGGAAGATGACAGCAATGACAACTTCTATGACCGACCGGGGTTGCCTGGAGATGATTACCCCGAAACACACATGCACTCGCAGAGCTTTGCTGGAGAGTCTTCTAAAGACTGGGACTGTTTGTCTTCAGATGGAATCTCCGTATATGAAGCTATTTATTACAGGCTGAGTAAACAAATATATGCAACAGGGGGTTGGTGGAATTTGTAGCTAAAGTATCCACAGCAGGGTAGACATCATGGATCCCAACCACCAGGCTCAGAATGGAGCCCAGGGCTTAGGGGACCCCCTTTTCTAACATGAGTGCTCCCCAACACGCTCAGTGAAAGAACATCTGGAAGTTATGTTCTCTCTGGAGAACCCCAGGAAACACTGATATCGTTTTTTCCAGCACATGACCTAGGAACAATTTTTCTAGCTAAAACTGGCTATGTAAGGATATGAGATTTAACAACTCAACCCTAAATATTATCTTCTTTTTTAAACTTTTTCTCAAACAAGATTGAAGCCATCTCTGCAAGGGCAGGGACTTGATCTTATCCATGGCTGCCTTCCCAGGACCTGAACAAGCATCCTCAGAAACATCAGGTAGTCAAAACGCATGTGCCTGGTCACTTCAGAGTTCTTCCAGCAAATTCCTTTGCTACTATTGAATCTGTTAGTGGGATAGGCAGCACCACAGATTTTAAAAGGAAAATTCTGGGAGAGGGGAATGCACAGCACAGCAGTTAAGAAAAGTCTATTTAGCAATATCATTTAATCCTCTGCGTTGGAAGAAGACCACCAATGTAGCATTTTAGAGGTAGTCATTTCTTAAGCATTTCTTAGGTCTACCTCTAACACCAGCAATTGTTAGAAGCAAAGTTTGAGAGTCATCAGCCTAACTTATCCTGACGTTGCTGGGAACAGATGTTTAGAATGCAAGTCAGAGTAGGGACCTGATCCTCAGCTTGACTAGCAAATTTTCAACGAATGACCACAGTATAAAGTTACTGCATGAAGTGATTCTTTATGGTTGTTCAATGCCCTGTGTCTGTGCATGGAGTTTCTGCATTCTCAAAGAAAACCAACTCCAACTAACTGGTGACAGCTCCAACCCAAATTAGTGACATTAGAATCCACAGATTATTTTGAGAAGCTTAACCTTTCATAATGTGTAAACCAACCTTCTAATTAAAATGAAAACAACCTAGTACTGCTTAGAAAGGATGAACTTAATTGGTTCATATAAATGGATGTAAAACAATTATTTTTGTTCAGTTAAACATTCATCCACTCTGCATCCATCTGTACATCCATTCGACCAAGAGATATTTACTGAGTGTTTTCTGTGTTCCAGGCACTGGTTTACCTGGTTGGGATTCAGCAATAAACCAGACCACGTGGGTGCTGACTTCATGGAACCCATATTCCAGTGCAGAAGACAGATAAACACAATTAATGAATGGATTCATGAGTAATTTGAGGTATCGGCCAGTACTATGAAGACATTTTATTCAGGAGAAGAGGAGAACAAGTGATAGCACAGTGGAGGTAGGATGGGGTATTAAATAGGGTGGTCATGACCGCCTCTCTGAGGAGGTTTCACGTGAATCAAGATGAAATGAAAGGGTGGGTTATGTAAGGATCTGGAGGAAGAGCTTTCTAGGCAGAGGGATCAGCAAGTTCTAGGACGCGGAGGCAAGAAGGAACTAGACGCTTTCCAATCATAATGAGAGGGTGGTTGTAGCTGGAGCAGTGGGCAAGGGGGAGAGTGGTAGGAAATGAGATTCAAGAGCGGGGAGGGCCAGGTCACCAAGGGCCTCATAGATCATAGTAAGGTTTTTATGATATATTCTAAGTATGAGAGAAAGCCTTTGAATTTTGTTTGTTTCTTAACAAGGAAATGATTTGATCTGCTTTTTTAAAATGACTCTAATTGTTATGAGAGAGACAAAATCTGTGTGCCCTGTTGCAGGAGATGGCAGGGTCTCGAGATGGAGAAGGGAGAGGAGGGAAAAAAAGGAAAACCAGACGGATCCATTAGGAAGTTACTACAGTAATACCCTTGAAAGAAATGGCAGGGTCTTAGACCAGAGAAGTAGTAGGGGGGATGTGAGAAACAGTCAGATTAGGACATATTTTAAAATAGAGGGAACAGAACCTCCAGGTGGAAAAGATGTGAATATGAGGAAAAGAGAGAAATCGGGGGCAACTTCTAATATTTTCAGCATGAGCACTGGGGTGCACTTACTGAGATGAAGGGATGGAAAAAGGAACAGATTTGAAGGGGGAAATCAGGAGTTCCTTTCAGGACATATTAATTTGAAATACTCCTTACACATCCAGATAGAGATGCTGAGTAGTCAGATGGAAGTGAGACAACTACTCATATAATTCATTGTTGAGGGGTTAAATGTCAAAATTCCAGGAGTAAGCACTTAGTAAATGTGGTCCTCTTACCCCTTAAACTTTGGAAAGTACTTCATTTTATACTCTGAAGAACTAATTTCTTACTAACATGACTAATCGAACATATCTGGAATTCTACACTCCATAGTTACTGAATACAGATTTTTTTAAAAGTATATGTGGAACATTTACCAAAAGAGACCATTTGCTAGACCAATAAGCAAACCTCAACAAATTTTAAAGGAGTATGTTTTTCAACTCAGTGGAATCAAAGCAGAAATCAATAATAGAAAAACAACTAGAAAATGAAATGCTTGGAAATTAAACAACCCAATTCTACATAACCTATGAGTTGAAGAAGTAATTAAGTGGAAAATATAAAATATTTTGAACCGAACAAAAAATGAGACATGACGTATCAAAATGTGTGGGATGCAGCTCAAGCAATTTTGGAGGCAAATTTGTAGCTTTAAATACATATGTGAGAAGAGGAGAAAGAGGAGAAAAAATATTTAAACTTCCACTTAATAAACTATAGATTAGCAAATTAAACTTAAAGAAAGTAAAAGAAAGGAAATGATACAGGTTAGCATAGAAAGCAAAGAAATAGCAGAAATACAATGGGGAAAGGTAACAAAGCCAAAAGTTGATTCTTTGAAAAGATGATTAAATTGACAAACCCTTAGCAAAACTGATCAAGAAAAAAAGAAGAGAGAGAACATAAATTACCAATATCATGATTTTAACAGGCCATATCACTGTAGATTATATAGACATTAAATGAATCACAATGGAGAAAACAAAATAAATTTTTAAAAAACTAAAAATTAAAAAAAAGTTAAATAGAATCACAGTGGGTTATGTTGAATATTTTTATGCAATAAATTAAACAAAATAAATTTTTTTTAAATTGAAAAATTTTAAAAAGAATCACAATGGGTTATGTTGAATATCTTTTTGCAATAAATTAATAAATTAATGAATATCTTTATGCAATAAATTAAACTTAGATGAAATGGATAAATCCTTTGTAAAAGACAACTTATTAAAACAAACACAAGAAGAAATAAGAAATCTGTTTAAAAAATGAAATCTTGGGCTTCCCTGGTGGTGCAGTGGTTGAGAATCTGCCTGCTAATGCAGGGGACACAGGTTCGAGCCCTGGTCTGGGAGGATCCCACATGCTGCGGAGCAGCTAGGCCTGTGAGCCACAACTATTGAGCCTGAGCGTCTGGAGCCTGTGCTCTGTAACAAGAGAGGCCGCGATAGTGAGAGGCCCGCGCACCGCAATGAAGAGTGGCTCCCACTTGCCACAACTAGAGAAAGCCCTCGCACAGAAACAAAGACCCAACACAGCCAAAAATAAATAAATAAATAAATTAAATAAAGGGCCACCCTGGCTACTCTTTAAAAAAAAAAAAAAAGAAATCTTTAACTAAAAACCTTCCCACAAAGAAAACTCATCCCAAATGCTTTCATAGGTGAAGTCTTCTAAACATTTAAGAAGAAATAATATCAATTTTACATAAACTCTTTCAGAGCTTAAAGAAAGGGAAAAATTTTAAACTCATTTTATGAGGTCAGCGTAACCCTGACACCAAAAAATGACAAAACTGCTATGAGAAAAGAAAACTGCAGGCCAATCTCTCTCATAAACAAAAAGCGATAATTATTATTTCTTTAAAAAAGCAAACTTTTCTTAAGATATTTCTTGGCCTCCCTTCTATTTTGTTCAGTTAGACTAACTTGTAAGTATATTTTATGACTCTAAGAAATATTTCAGTTTTTGTTTTGTTTTGTTTTGTTTTGTTTAATATTTCAGTTTTTTAAACTGAAATCTGGCATATGAAAATAAGTGTCTACAGTTTACCCGATACCACCAAAGAACATATTTGTGACCCCAAAACAAAATGAATCATAATTCCTCTTTGTGGAGCAAACCCATCTTTTGGTCCATTTAAAGAAAATAATTAAAATTAAGAGAGTAAAATGACATCAGCCCAGCTCCCCAAAACTCATTTGCATGACACACATCTGCTGACATAAATGATGATGACATGGAGATCATTCCTCATTGGATGCTTGTGATGAGTTGCAGGTGAAAGCAAGCACGTAATCACTTATTGGGGCGTGCTCTTACCGCTTGGCAGCAAATTATAGTGATGAAGAGCTGTGATGTTTCTAGACAACAAATAATAACACACCACCTCAAGTAATTTTTATATAAGAAGTTATTAAATAAAAAGATTGTAGTTTAATATTTTCTGCTTGTAAAAACTTTGGAATATTTTTGTGTGCCATTTTATTAATCTCAGTGCCCCTGAAATGTGCTCACCTTGATTTGGCCATTTTGGAACATAGGGCTCTCAGGCTAATCTGTCAGCTGTGTAACTAAATCATCAAATTGGTTGGTTTAGTTTTACTGAATTGACTGAATGCTTCACAGGTGCTTACAAACCAGTTGGCTGCAATGGTTCAAAGTGAGGCACCGAGACCAGAACATGAGCATCACCTGTGAACTTGTTAGAAATGCACGTTCTCTTGTTCGGACCCATCAAATCAGAAACCAAATCAGAAACAGCAATCTGGGCTTTACCAAGCTCTCCAGGTGGCTTTGATGCCCCCTCCAATCTGAGGACCACTGAGAGAGCCCCTAAGGATCCAAGGGTTATCAATTTCATTCATTCATGCATATATTTTTGCTCTTCTTGCAATATATATGCCATATGGTCCTCACTTGTACAACACATTCCCCTAAGATGCAAGTTTCAAGGAAACAAAGGAAAAATTATGGGGAAATAAAGGGCTACAATAATTTGAAATGTAACCATCAGAGGAGATCAGCAATTGTCACTGTTTTGGCTGTGGCGTGAATAAAATCGTTTATAGACTTAGGCATAAACTCTAAACACATTGGCTTTAACTCTACTTTCTCACCCAAGAACATTTATCAGAATCACAGCTTGGTGGGAGTGATGGTGCTGTCTACCATCATGATTCACATACAGGAAGAATAAGGGGTCATTAAAAGACTGGGCTCTGGGGCCTGGGTTTAGCTGTGAGATTTTGGACAAGTCTCTTTACCTTTCTGTGCCTCAATTTTCTTATCTGTAAAACGGGAACAATAATTGCTCCTGTCTCATGGGGTTGTGAGGATTAAATGAAAGAAACTGTATACAGAACATTCTTAGGATAGGGCATGGCACATAGTAAGTCCTAAATAAATGTTATCAATTGTTATTATTAGCATCAATTCCATTAGATCAAACAAAAGTAAACCTTTTATAAATTTCATTTTATGACTGATGTATCAGACGGAGCCCCTTTGATAGCAAGTGACAGAAACTCAGGGCTACATGAAGCGAAAAGAGAGAAATTACTGGTCTGTGGAACCAGACTGTGGAAAAGGTAGCATGAATTGGCTCTGAGAATGATAGCAACCAGGGACTCAAATGCACTCAGGACCCTTTCTCTCTCTCTCTCTCTCTCTCTCTCTCTCTCCACCCCCACCCCCGCACCACCCCCCACCCCCCGCATCACCTGCATTCTCTTAGCCAACAAGATGAGCTTATTTCATTGGTCAGGGAACACAGTCACCAAGTGTTTCTACTTTTACAGCTTCACCACTTTGTAACCAGAGAGATGATTCGCTTAAAATACTCCACGGATGGCCAAGGCCCAGCCTGCGTCGTTGCCTTTCTTGGGACCAATTTCTCTGGCCAGAGAAGGACTCCTTCCCACTCTACCCACCACACTTGGCCGCAGCACCAATCCACCACGAGTTTAGCTGAGGATTTGTTTCCCTTTAAGGTAAGCCTTGAGCAGACTCCTTGAGCCATCTGGTTTGAGAGAAGTAACCAACCATTTTATTCCTTCTTCCTGTTGTTGCTGTCATCCTGACCATTTCACAACCTGGTTCTTGACGAGTGTCCCATCTTTCATGGCTTTTGTTGAGTTTGACCCCAGGCTGAAAACGGGACGTGTGTTTATTTTACCTGACAAAGTACCCATGGCTGAAAGGTTTGGAGCTCTCACGAACTGTACTTTCTCCCCCTCCAGATGGGGCTGTAATTATAATTTAACTGTCTGGGTCTAACTTAAGGTGAGGAAAAGATATATTAAGTTTGCACACATGTTATTCTCCTACCCTCACCCACATCCCTTCGGCTCTCCACATTTCATATGCAACCACCTTTGGGGGAGGTGCGTGTGTATGTGTACAGACAGTCGTGTTACAATTCTCATTTTGCAAAGTTTATGCAAAAACCAAGCACCTAGGTTCAGAGTTTCCTAAAGGAGTCACATCTGAAGTAGGTGCTTTACGCCAAAATGTCACGAAGATTTATGTGCTTTCATTTGTGCATTAAATTGAGGACAGGTGGGAGAATGCTCAAGCCTGAGAAAAACTGATAGCTCATTTCTCCCTTAGAGGAGAGAGATGGCTGTTAAGACTACTGCTGGTTCAGATACGATAGATACAGACTCTGTTTTTTTATTAAAAAAAAGGGGGGGGAGGGAGGGCTTGTGTTTGAAAAGCAATATTTCAGCAGTCAAATCATTACCACTGCAATCATGTTTCTCACAAATGGGAACCCTGGACTGAGATCCCAAGGTGAGTCCTGCCCCCAATTCAAACAGAGCAGGCAATACCCTACCCGAACAGCCAGGAAAATGGCCCAGCCTCCGTTCAAGCTCACAGAGAAAGAGTCTCTGGAATTGAGGGAAATGGCGTCCTCGACACATTCCACTTTAATGGCTTGCAACAGGGTCGGTTACACATATGTAACCACTCATTTTTTAATTTGATTCTTGTTTCAAACACCTTTTCAGGACCCAATACATCTAAAAAACGTCGTCACTTGATAGGTCGCTACTCTATGCCTGGCCTTGAAACCAGCGATTCGATGTGCTGAGTATTCACCTGGATTTGAAATAGTGTGAATTTGCATTTCAGAATAAAAATACTATGTGGCAAACACAGGCAAGCCAGATTTTTCACAAAGAGAAATGAGAGCTGCACTTGGAAATCCTGGTGGTCAGCCTCTCCTGGGAGGGACACTGCTTGTCCCTGGGGTGACCTGGAGGCATATTGGGTAAATCAAAATTATTTGGTACACTCAATCCCTTTGAGGTTCAAGCTGAGCTTCTGAATCAAATACTTATCAAACCATTGACTTGCTTCTGAAGCAGGAATTTTCTGTTTGGAAACCAGAGCTGTGTTCACACTGAGGGGCAAAGGACATACAATTAGTCTCTGTTTCTGTATGACTTCATTCAGTTACATGGATACAAATGAAATTTGAAACCTCCTAATGATTTCTGATTTTTTTCTTGTGGAGGCAATTACTACAATTCCAGTGATCTGTCATTTTAGACGACCACTAAATATAATCACCAGATAGTAAGAAATGCTCAACAAGCAATAGGGAAAGCGTTCAGATAAAATACCCTGTAACTCCCAGACATTTTTGTCTCACCGTATTTAGCAGCTCAGCTTGTGATATGTATGTGTTCGTGGGGTGATAACTATGACTGTTAAAGGCAGGTAGATAAAGGAAGACATTTGGAGATATATGGTGTTAACAGTTCAGTAAGATAAATGCTTGTCTTTTAAAGCTGAATTCCAGAAGGAATTGCAGTGAAAGAACTGGCACATTTTTTTCTATGCCAGAAAAACATACTATCTTGCACCTAGATTGAAGACTGGTGTATGATATGCTGAACAATATTGGGATGACACTATTTTATTTCTAAAATATGTACATTTTTTTCTTGTATCACTTTTTAGCAAAAAAAATGTGGGACTCTGGGGAGTTTTGGGGTTTTTTAAATTTTTATTGAAATATAGTTGATTTACAATGTGTTAGTTTCAGGGAAACAGCAAAGTGATTCAACTATACATATATATATATATGTAAGATTATATATATTCTTTTTTTACATTCTCTTCCATTATAGGTTATTATAAGATACTGAGTATAGTTCCCTGTGCTATACAGTAGGTCCTTGTTGGTTATCTATTTTGTCAATATATATAGTAGTGTGTATATTTTAATCCCCAACTCCTAATTTATCCCTTCCCCCCACCCTTTGGTAACCATAAGTTTGTTTTCTATGTCTGTGAGTCTATTTCTGTTTTGTAAATAAGTTCATTTGTATCCTTTCTTTAGATTCCAAATATAAGTGATATCCCATGATATTTGTCTTTCTCTGTCTGGCTTATTTCACTTAGTATGATCATCTCTAGGTCCATCCATGTTGCTGCAAATGGCATTACTTCATTCTTTTTTATGGCTGAGTAGTATTTCATTGTATATATGTACCACATCTTTATCCATTCATTTGTCGATGGACATTTAGGTTGTTTCCATGTTTTGGCTATCATAAATAGTGCTGCTATGAACATTGGGGTGCGTGTACCTTTTCAAATTATGGTTTTCTCCAGTTATATGCCCAGAAGTGGGATTGCTGGATCATATGGTAATTCTATTTTTACTTTTTTAAGGAACCTCCATACTGTTCTCCCTAGTGGCTGTACCAATTTACATTCCCACCAACAGTGTAGGAGGCTTCATTTTTCTCCACACCCTCTCCAGCACTTATTGTTTGTAGGCTTTTTTTTTTTAATTTTTTTTTTTTTTATTTTTGGCTGTGTTGGGTCTTTATTGCTGTGTGTGGGCTTTCTCTAGTTGCGGCGAGCGGAGGTTACTCTTTGTTTAGGTGCAAGGGCTTCTCATTGCGGTGGCTTCTGTTGTTGCAGAGCACAGGCTCTAGGCACACGGGCTTCAATAGTTGTGGCTTGTGGGCTCTAGAGCTCAGGCTCAGCAGCTGCGGTGCTCGGACTGAGTTGCTCCGTGGCACGTGGTATCCTCCCGGACCAGGGCTTGAACCCCTGTCCCCTGAATTGGCAGGCGGATTTTCAACCACTGTGCCACCAGGGAAGCCCTGTTTGTAGACTTTTAGACATTGGCCATTCTGACAGGTGTGAGGTGATACGTCACTGCAGTTTTGATTTGCATTTCTCTAATATTTAGCAACGTTTAGCATCTTTCATGTGCCTTTTGGCCATCTGTATGTCTTCTTTGGAGAAATGTCTATTTATGTCTTCTGCCCATCTTTGGATTGGGTTATTTGTTTTTTTGTTATTGAGCTGCATGAGTTGTTTGTATATTTTAGAGATTAATCCTTTGTCAGTAGCTTAGTTTGCAAATATTTTCTCCCATTCTGAGGGTTGTCTTTTCATCTTGTTTATGGTTTCCTTTGCTGTGCAAAAGCTTTTAAGTTTCATTAGATCCCATTTGTTTATTTTTGTTTTTATTTTCATTGCTCTAGGAGGTGGATCCCACAAGATATTGCTGCAATTTATGTCAGAGAGTGTTCTGCCTATGATTTCCTCTAAGAGTTTTATAGTATCCGGCCTTACATTTAGGACATTTAATGCATTTTGAGTTTATTACATTTAATGCATTTTGAGTTTATTTTTGTGTATGGTGTTAGAGAATGTTCTACTTTCATTCTTTTATATGTAGCTGTCCAGTTTTCCCAGTGCCACATATTGGATAGACTTTTCTCCATTGTATATTCTTGCCTCCTTTGTCATAGATTAATTGACCATATGTGTGTGGGTTTATTTCTGGGCTTTCTATCCTGTTCCATTGAGCTATATTTCTGTTTTTGTGCCAGTACCATACTGTTTTGATTATTGCAACTTTGTAGTGTAGTCTGAAGTCAGGGAGCCTGATTGCTCCAGCTCCATTTTTTTTTTTCTCAAGATTGCTTTGGCTATTCAGTGTCTTTTGTGTTTCCATGCAAAATTTAAAATTTCACTGCTTGTTGAAACTATTCCAAGGTATTTTATAATTTAAGAATAAACAAATTCTAGTCTTTATGGTTTAAAAAGCATGCCTTGAAAGAGAGCCCTACCTTAAATTTGCAGTTTTTCATAACAATGGATCTTAACCATTTTTGAGATACACAACCCAAGCATACAAATAAGTTGCTTACAATGTCAGTGAATCCACAGACTGTCTAATGCCCATTCCCAGGTGCTGTACAGGGTTATGGAGTCAGATTACCATCCCCAGCTCTGTGCTTGGCACTTTCATCGACTGTCTCTCACTTGATCCAAATAACAGTCCTCAGAGGTTCCTATCCCTCTGTCTAGGTCATGCTCACCTCAAGCCAGGGTCTCTGGCCAGGCCTGAGAACCCAGATCTGACCACTGCCAACTCATACAGAAGGTCTTACTTTCTTTACTTCCTCCACCCTGATCTGGGTCTCTAGAAACAACTTCCCAGGTAGGATCATAGTTAAGGTTACACTATGTCTTCCTTGGTAGTCTGATTGGGCAGAGTGTGAAATACATTTTTCCAGGAAAAATGGCCAGGGTTGTTTGGGTTCCCAGTCTATATCCTCACAAAGTCTGGTGGGTGGAGAGTGCTAGCACTTAACCTCCATGCATCACAAGGTCTCCATGAGAAAATTCACTGTGGCTTCTTTGGAGTGAATTTCTCCTTGTCACAACAATACCAGAAACATGCTGTCCCAAACCTCTGGCACAAATGACTCCCCTATTTCCCAGTCTTTGGCAATGAACCCCACCATGACTTAAAATAATAGAAACAAGAGCTAATTGTCAGCACTGGCTTTGTACCAGGCACTTAATACATAGTGATTTATTTAATCCGTTTAATAATCCTATTAGGTAGGTACTATAATTCTACACTTTTCATCATTGAGGAACCTGGGACACAGAAGTGTTTTTTTAGTTTGCTTGTGATCACAGCCAGTAAAGGTTGGAACCAGGACTCAAATCCCAGCTCTGAGTCCAAGCTCTTACCACTTGACTCCACTTAGCAATGAAAAAAGAAATGCACACACTTACAATCAAAAAAATGTACATATGTTGGGGGTCTTGACCAACATTTTAAATTTCTTTTACTGATGTCTATGCAATCAAGGTGGTTGGGAATACCCCATTCAGTTGATGGGATGTGGAGTTTGAGAAGGCAGCTATAAGGTGTAGAAGTGAGGCAAGCTGTGAACTCAGCCCTGAAGGAAAACCATAGAAGGTCAACTTCTCCTTTTTGTCCACCACCAACGTGGCAAGGTATTGTGGAGTCACAGAAGGAGGAAGGTCTGGGTAGAAGTGAAGGTGTAGTTCCAGGGGGTAAGGAATAAGAAGACAAAAGGAAAACACCATGTGATTCCACTCAGCTGAAGTCAGTGTCCAGAATGGCTCACAACCAGTGGGGGACATAAGTTGGAGATTGTTCCTTTGTACATACTCATGACCTCTTGTTATTCTACCTGCATGCCTGTGTGTGACCATGTACAGTAAAGCTTACATCAGGGGGGCTTAGTTCTAAAGTCACAAGGCAAAACTTGACAAGACTTGACCTTTCCCTGTACATCCTGAAACTCTCTGTGAAGTATACATAGACGTACCTCTGTCGGTGAAGGAAATGCAGCCAATCTGTCCACCAGTAAGGAAAGAAATGTCCGTTCCTTCCATGGGGCACCCCAGCAAGTAGTTTATTTGAATTTAAGGGCCATGTTGTTCAAACGATACAGATTTTTAAATAGCAGAATTGCCCTATTTTTAAATAGGCAGATGCTTGTGCTAGGAGATACACTAGGGAACCAGGACAGAAAAAGGAAACACCAGATTCCTATTTCCCAACTCGTGACCATCCTAGGCATAACCCAACTGAAGGAAATGATGTCCAGAATTGATCTGGGTGGTCACGGTTCCATCTGACTAAGCTGAGCATGTACAAGGGGGATCCCACTGCTATTCTCATTGGCAAGGCTGGTGCTTTGTCGTTACACATTGGTGTTCTGGACTGGCCAGTGAAAGTTCTAGCTGGTCAGTGCCCAAAGTGCCTTGCTGTACCAGTTTAGAGTTTTGACTGTCACTCTCTCTGAATACACATGTGAACCTGTGCGTGCACACACGCCTACCCATGCTTATCTCTCCATCACAGCAGCATCGGTATTATGTCTGGACTCCTTAGCTTTAAGGGTGTGTTTTATTTATCTTCCAAAGCCTGGCTCAGATGCTCCCTCCTCTGGGCAGCCTTCCTTGCTTCTCTACAACTGGGCAGGATCTCTCCTTCCTTTTACTTCTTTTGCCATTTCTTCCACTCTGCCTTTTAGTACAGTGATTGGAGGTCTGACGTCCCACGTAGGACGTGAGCTCATGGATCCTTAGTGACCCCCTTTTCAAGAACATTAGAAGATTGCCTTTTACAGAGTAAGTGTTCAGCAAATCTTTCATAGAAAATAAAATAACAAGTGAATGAATGAGTGATTTCATTTATGTGTATGAACCAGAGATCCATGAGATAAAATAAGTGTGAAAACACTAGTTATATTAGCCTGAAATACATTACCTTTTGTGGGTTTAATGTGACCAAACCGTTGTTGTCTGTGTCCCCCAGTCTCTCCTTTCGATCTCCTAATTCCAGCTGCCACTATGACAAAGGTAGAATAGAAAACCACTGAATGACAAAGGAATTATGAAACTTGGAATTTGGAATCTATCCTGGTAGAGATGGGAGGTGTTGAGTCAAGACAGCTTCTACCTATTAGTTTTTCCCTTAATAGAAAAGACTGTACAGAAGGCCTCCCCTTCTCTCTCCCTCTCCTTCTCTCCCTCTCCCTCTCTCTGTCTCTCTTTCTCTCCCTCTCCCTCTCCCTCTCTCTCTCTGTCCATCTGTCTCTCTCTGTCTCTGTCTCTCTCTCTTCCTGCTTACTCACCATCTGTTTTCTCCCTAATTTACAAATTACCCTAATGTCCTACCAGGAAGTAAC